TTTTTTTTTCTCAAGCAAACGTCAAAACTAAATTCCTTGATAAGCCTGTACTTGATATGCTGTTCTCGCCAAGGGGAAAGCTCGAAAACTTCAACCGAAGAAGAGCTTGATGTATCGTGATCCAGTCAAAGTTGTAGGAGTAGTTGCTTTCTTGGCTATGATTGGCTGCCAGTTTGCTTGACATAAGATTATTTTGCATCCTTTTCCTTCAAACAGAATCGAATTGTTAGTAAATTTACATTGCAAGGGAAAAGCAGGGAGATGCGTTTAAAATGCAGGCAATACATGTATTAGCAGTTTATTAATCTCAATGCAGCTGAAGACGGTTGGTATGAAACACCTTCGAACTACCATTCTTTGGTATTGAGGTGCTATCGCGTAACATGACAAGCGAGTAACACAAGGCGAGTGAGAACAATCCAAGCAAAGATTTGCGTGAATTCTCATAAAGTAGAACCCCGGTAACCCGAACTCTGAAAGGAAACGAAAACCAGTTCGAGTTAGGGGGGTCAATTGAATTTCCAACTTGCTATGTTAATAATCGATAGTTCAATGATTTTTCAGCACCTCAGTATACAGTACAGTGCCAATAAAACTTATCTCGTCAGAAATGCATGTGTACTTTTCATAACGTTCTGCGCTGTAGCACTATTTCATCCGGTATGACTCATAAGATCGGGCAATGACTTTCAAATACGTGAATGGTCGGTTGCAATTGCACTATTTAAAATCAAATTGCTGTAGTGTTAGTTTTGAGTGTTTTTACCGATTAAACGACCACAAAAGCTAATGGGATGAGATCCGTGGTGAGTTACATGAACCAGAATTCGAGTTATCGGAGTAAATTTTTATCAAGAGAAACGAAATTTAGTTCTGGTTAGCGGGGAATTCGAGTTATCCGAGTTCGAGTTAACCGAGTTAAAATGACTGAAAAAGTGGAGTCAAATCTACTGAGGGAAATGGGACTCGGTTCGACTACGAGTTACCGGGGTTCTACTGTGTTTGTTGCAGCCACTTGCAGTGGCGATCATACTGGGTGAGTGCCTTACTGTATGCAATTGCTCTGACAGTAGTATTGTACATTCGTAACTTATGGCAGGTACTGCATATAAACCCATCATAGTTCCTAACGGTCTGTACTGGTCAGTGCCAGTCATGTTAATTTAAGGATCGTCGTTTTGACTCGTTTTTTTTTTGGCCACTTAATAAAGGGAGGGGAAACTACAATCCTTAAAATGTAACTTACTCTGCGCAGTGACTTCGCCCTCGCTAAATAAGATATTCGTAAGAGGCGTGTATTAATGATAAAACTAGCTAAAACTGTTACCTTTGATCTCAAAGTCTGGGCTTGGTGTTGTAGATTTTGTCGTTCTGCAAAGAAGCGAGAAGGGAGGTGTTAAACAAGTGAACAAGCAGCTCAAATGTCACAAAGAACCAGGAGACCATGATCTCTTGATTATGGTCTCTTCAGGAAACAGTTAAAACCAAGAAACGCCAAGATATCCGACAGATTGAGACTCATGGACTGAGTGTAAACGACGGTGTTTATAAGAGCAGTAATTTGACAACACAAAATAACTAGCGAACGTTTTCCCTCTTATTAAGGCAATGCATTATGTTGTAATAATGAGTGAACACAGTTCACATATATATTTCTCTTTCTTGTATAGTAGACATTACAAAACATCTAGATTTTGAATCTGATCTGGAAACGTCACCTAGTTGCGTCTAGCCTCTTTTAGGTACCTGAACGCCTGGAATAGGCTTATACCCCGTTCACACCAACATATTAAACATGTTTAAAAGTGGCTTATCTAAACAAGGTTGAAAATAGTGGCTCATACCGCGCACATCCCACAACTTAAGCAGGTAAAAACCTGTTTTAAGCAGGTAAAAACCTGTTTGAGGCAAATAAGGTATCAAGGTGGTTTGAAATTTGTCTTTTCAAAATAACCGCAAAGCGTAATCGACAAATTGGAAAAACCTAAACCTGATGCACTTAAACTAGTTTAGTTCGTGTAAATGGGGATTAAGTTACGTCTAGAACTGTGCACTAACCTCTCGCAGCTCGCCAATGTAATATTTTGAGAGAATCTTCTGAGCTTCAGCCGAGTGGCCGATATCTTGAAACACGGTGGTGGCATCCATACCTTAATTAAGGAGAATTCAGAAATGTTTACGTTAAGTGCAATATTAACATTTCTTAATCGAAGGAAAGACTACAAGTTTGGATTATCCAAGAGCAGGCATTCTTAACAATTTAGCCCTCAGAAGAAATTTAATTCGAATTCTTTAATTTTGAAGTTGTTTTGCAAATTCAGTTAGGGCGAGTAACAAGAATTACAGAACTGATTTGTTCCAGAGAAATGATTTGGCTTGTATAGACTAAATTCTCCGAAGTAAAATGTTCGGAGCCCTCAAATGAGCAAAAGTACAGAAGTAGAAACAGAACAAAGTCGACATGTATATTCGCCAATGGAAAAGAGCAACGAAGAAGAAAGAGAAAATTAGAGCTGCTGGAGGATGATAATTATTCTTGGCACTAAAAGGGCTAAAAAGGGAACTATATGGGGTGCTATATAAAAAAGAGGCTGGGCTTTCAATCCTCCGTCAGTAACAACTGAAATGTAAATAATTGTATGGGTGTTTGAATTAAATAAAAACTCTCAATTAGAATTTCTGCACGGGAAGAAGTTTTATAAGGATAGGTCTCAATATATAAACTATGGAACTGGACTCAATGGAAGCAGTAAATCAACTGAATCTATGGGTTGTCTCGCAAGATTACAAGTTCGCTACAAACTTGATTTATTTATACAGTTTAGTCCCCAAAACACTCTCTTTGTACAATAGTAAATGTAATTTTGTGATTGACTCTTTACTCGCCTGCGTGTTCCAGCATGATTTCGCTTCCTCCAGGATGCTAAAACAAAGTATATAGCTCCTCAACTCAAAGATAATAGAAGTCTATATATCCATGCTGTATAAATACCAGTTAAATTTACCTATGTCAGCAAATCAATAGAGTGGCAAATCCAAGGGGNTGTTTTGCTTACCCTGCCGGCTTTTCTTCCTTCTGTGATTTCTTCTTTTTTTCTTTAGATCCGCCACTGCAATACCTTTTGCTTGTCTCAGAATACTCGTATCTCTTAGATTAACAATTGGGTCATTGAGCTCGAGATTTCTATCACGCTTAGAAATCGAGAGCGAAGATTACAATCTAATTGTTTTAGCCTAAACCTAGTCGTTCAAAACGTTATCTAAATCCTGTTCGCAAACACTTCGAAAAACGCAAAGCGGCCGCCAAATTGTTGACAACCGCACACTGCAAGGCTACTTACTGTCTACAACAGAATAGATAGTGAGTAGTATAGCCAATGAGAGAACGGCATTCGTGATACTGAGAGCGTTAGCAGATTTATACTAAAATCAGCTAGAAGAATCAGACTTGAAAATCAAGACAATTGCCGTGTTTTTAAGTTCCATTTGGTGATCGTTTCCCGAATTCTCTAAACCTAATGCTTGATTATGTACTGATATGGTGGGATGAATTTCGATGTTGATCAGATCAACATGTGCCTTTATGTAAAGCACAAATCTTAAAACGATAATGGGACAATTCTACAAGAACGCGCCATTAAGGCAACTTAGGTGTTAAACCTTGACATTCGATCTCGCCAATGTTTTTGAAATTGCTAAAGGTGCGTTGACCGTCGTAGCGAGTTTATGAAGTTGACGTTTCGAGCGATAGTTCTTCGCTGGTCGAACAAATCGGCTCTGACGGTTTTCTACGGTCGAAAATGTACTTGACCACAATCACATTCAATATCCTAAAACGTCTTTCAAAATTGCATTATTTCAGCAGACATCTAACGTACAGAGACTGCAAAGAGCGAATTTTGTCCAGAACGCACAGAGAAATTCAATTTACCTCATCCAAAAAGTTGGTTAAATCGTACACTTTGTCCTTGATCACGATCCAACATGAAGATATGTCGGCATGATATGAGACTTCGTCTAGAGAATAAACCCTGGGTTTTGTTGGGATTATTTTCATCCTCTTCTGGGATAAGGTCTCCATATTTTATGGCAAAGTTTTAATGAGGATGGTAGCCTGCAAAGAACAGAAAAAAAAGATTAATATACACTACATGCAAGTGAAAATGAACTACATGTAAAAATGTTATATATAAGTTGTTCTGTGTGATCATTCAAACCTTGTAATTTTACATCGGTGTATAAAATTATTCTTGGTGTTGTTTCTGAGAACGACATAGCCTTTTAAAATATTCCCTCGGTGCTAATACCATCATAAAAGAATATTGACATATTGCAGAGGTAAACACGTATATGGATCCACGTCAATACGCAACAGTGCTCGGTTAACTGATCAGAAGAAATCGGATAAACATACTATTTAATACATTGATCGCGCCTT